TGATGTATGCATATTTTATTTTTAGTGCAGAAATTTTAATTTGTATAAAATTTCATTTTATTTGATTAAAAAGTAAATGTATCTATATTTATTGAAAAATACATACATGCATGCATAGTCATAAATTATCATTTTTTAACTTACCGACATCAAAAAACTTTGAAATTAAAAAGAGTGATCTGTTCGCGTTGTTTGAAATATTTTTGCACTTAAAATGAGATATAAATATATATTTTTGGTCATTAAAAAGACAGAAAGCGAATTAAGACATTGAGTGTAAAAAGTGCATGCAACGCAAAAAGATCTAATAAAACGGGACTTGAGTGATGTTCTTTCTTTCGTAGATTTCTACGCATAAAAATACATTTTACAAAATTAGACAAAAAGAGGAAAAATATTTATCAAAAATTGTCAAAAAATTGAGTTTTTTCTGACAGATGTACTCGGTTCTATTATTCCGTACAGTACTTTTCTGAAGTCAAAAATTGAGCCCAACTTTTTCGTAAAAGCATTATGAACTCCCTGGGAGTTTATTTCATCGAATTTATAAGCTCCCCGAGAGCTCAGCGAAATGAACTCCCAGGTATCTTTCTTTGTTAAATCGTGTAAGCTCCACGGGAGTTCAGCATTCTGAACTCCCTGGGAGTTCATTTTGTCGAATTTTATAAGCTCCCCGAGAGCTCAGCGAAATGAATTCCCAGGGATCTTTCTTTGTTGAATCGTGTAAGCTCCACGGGAGTCCAACATTATGAACTCCCTGGGAGTTCATTTTATCGAATTTTACAAGCTCCCCGAGAGCTCAGCGAAATGAATTTCCAGGGATCTTTCTTTGTTGAATCGTGTAAGCTCCACGGGAGTTCAGCATTATGAACTCCCTGGGAGTTCATTTTGTCGAATTTTATAAGCTCCTTGAGAGCTCAGCGAAATGAACTCCCAGGGAACTTGAACGGAGTTTTGTGCTGTGTGGGAAGTGTCTCAATTACTCAGAATGTTCTTTTATTGATTTTTTAGATAAAAAAAAACTTCCATGCAAAACTTCAAGTCAATCTCATAAGTAGAACCATAGTTATATCAAATTTGGTAAAATCTCACTCCATCGAAAGCCAGATTTTCAATTTTCATGTTTTTAGGGTTAATTCGAATAATCAAAAGTCTTGATTAATTCTGAGTGTTTCTTATCGTATATTTGAATAAAATATGTGTTTAAACAAAATATAACATTTTCTCTTGTATAATATAATTTAATAGGGTGAGTTTTGTTTGAATTGATCAAATTTTATGATTTTTTTCAGGTTGTCCTTATAATGGGAATCGCAGGTGCACTCAGAAGATGTGAATTTACCAAATTATTGACGAGTGACTGTTTAGAAGGTGATGATCTGCTGCTGGTTAGTATAAAGGAAACTAAAAATAAAATACCAAGGTCCTTCACAATTATTGGTGAATTATATAGGATCTGCAAAAAGTATATAAATACAAGACCAGCAGTATGTTCGAACTACCGATTTTTTTTTAAGTACGACAAGGGGAAGTGTATTAATTAGCCAATTGGTATCAATACATTTGGTGTTATGCCAAAGCAAATTGCATCGTTTTTGATGTTGCCAGAGGCCGATACGTTCACCGGACACACTTTTAGAAGAACATCTGCAACACTATTAGTGGATGCCGGAGCAGATATCACTGCGCTGAAAAGACATGGTGGCTGGAAATCAAATACTGTGGCAGAGGGTTACATTGCCAATTCATTGAACAATAAAAAAAAAATATTCAATCAAATTACTGATGGAATGTCATTGAATAAAATAACAGATAGTGCAAATACCAATACTAATGTTACAGTACCTGGAAATGATGTCGCTTTAAATTTACCTACTAGTAGCACCCACAACGAAGTTCAAATAACATACAGAAGCAATCCTGTCAATAGTAAATCGATTACGCAAGAAAAACCATTCACATCACGAACGCACAATTGCAATATTCCTGTTGTCGAAGAAAGCCAGTCCACATCACAAACTAAGATCGAAAATATGAATATTCTTATTGATGGAGATTCTATTTTAAATACCAAAAATTCTTCAATAAACGAAGAAGACTCACGATTTCCAGTTTTCTATGATCCAGATATTGGCTTATATGTTTATGATATGATCAAGGGAAATACAAATAAAACAATTGTACTTAACAATTGTAATGTGACCTTACACGGTGACTTAAATGATAAGTTTCTTTTTAACAACTGTAATATTCGTAAATTCTAATTTTATCAACATTATATTAGTATGTTCAAAACATTATAAGAATTTTAAATTAATGATAGTAGTTTATAATAATATATCTCATAATATAAAAGTTATTTAACCAAAATTCTGGCTTATTTTTTATACCATCTCACTTGAAAAAAATCACGTGACAAAATCACCTCATTAATCACGTGACATTGTCTGAACTCATTATCTGATTTTTAAAAGTTACTCGACAGCCAATTAAAAGTTGGGATCACTATTGTCCTAACTCTTATTATAGGAACACTAATTCAGACTAGAGTACCTATAATGAGAGTATGGCCATAAGCGTACCTTCTCGTGATTGGTGCCGCCATATGTTGGACCAAATCGGTATGTTAGTGAGTCTGTGAATCGGTGTATCAGGCTGCTTACGTAGTATACGTAGCCAAAAGGTTAGTCCCGTTCGAGCTGTCATCAAGAACGCATTGCGTGAATTGCATCCGTAAGATTTTTGAATTGCTGTATTTTTACTTTAAATATGATAAAAACACTTTTGCAATACTTGCTAATATGCCATACCCAATATGACAACTGAGGGTTAAATTGTACAATTGTGTTTATAAATTATTTTGTTATTAAAACGTAGACGTTTTACTTTTTACCTTTAACTTTACATTGTAAAAATATATTGTATTTTTTGGATATTAATGGATTAGCGTGGTGTACGTTTTATCATAACTCGAGTTTCAGACAACAACCATGGGGCGATGCATTTCTTGTGGTGCAAGATCATCAAATGGAGTGAAGATGTGCTGCTTTCCGAAAGACAAAGAGAGAAGAAATCAGTGGACCAAATGCCTAAATAAGCCGAATTGGACTCCAACAGATCATTCTGTTTTATGTGAGGTATATAGTTACTGTATTTTAATATCATTTTTATTATACATTTAAGAAATAAACTATTGTATCGAGAGAATATAATTATTATTGAAAGTAAAATAATACAGTAACAAATATTCAATTTTAGAAACACTTCGCTCCTGTCATGTGGGAGAAGACACGTGTTGATGGAAAGAAAAAACTAAGAAGTACTGCTATTCCAACGCTGTTTGAGGTACCAGATGCACAGACTGTTGTCACTCGACTGGTGACTCATTGTCACCACAATGATTATTAATATGTATATACGCATATATATTAAATATATCTATACATATATATATTTCATTTATTATCTTCTTTCATCACTATATTATCGACACATTTAGCACATTATCAATCGCTTGATTTTTTAAAAGATATACTTTCATTACTTCTGTTTCCTGTCAGCTAAAATTTTTCTGTTACTGTATTAAAAAATAAAAAAATACTAAATACTAAATATATTACAATTAAATACTACAATTGGATGCTTTTATTTGATTTTACTGCTTCAGACTATCTACTTAATTACATTTGTAACAGTTCTATTAGCATTTACTAATTTTTGTTCGCTGTGTTCACTTCGCTGTATTCACTTCGCTGTGTTCAAACGCTGCGCGCGATTTTCAGTTCTTTCCGGCGTAGTCCTAGTAATGGCGACTTCCGCTCTTATGGCCATACTCTCATTATAGGTACTCTAATTCAGACTTGCTCGTACAGCCGCCTGGTGGCCATTTTGCGAAAACATATTGTGTGAAATACAGAAATATGTACAAAATCTTTGTGTGTGTATATATCGTGGAACGCCAATGTACACCCACGGTAATTAATTCTGTCCCTCGGAAAATTTCACAAAATAAAAAATGACCACCTTTCTATATTAATTGTCACAATCCATGCACGATTAACGTTACGACTGAACCTTATCGTGCATGAATAGTGACAATTAATATAGAAAGGAGGTCACTTTTCATTTTGTGAAAATTTCCGAGGGACAGAATTAATTACCGTGGGTGTACATATATAGATATTCTTTAATTATTCGTTTAACATGAGCTTCGTGAAATCGGGGGGGCTCGCTACGCTCGGGCGCTAACTTCGCCGTGCCTGAAAATGTCACTTAGGTTAGGACCCGCGTATCGTAATGTACTATTATGGGATAATACTTTGGAAATTTCATTTACATATAAATACCTAAATTCTCTGATAATTGCAACAAAATTGATGCTAAGGCCGCATGCATATGCTTATCCTGCTATGCACTTTGTTGTTAACTTTCAATCTTTAGATTATATAATATGTTGTAAAAACGGAGCATACATAAACAGTCTAACATATTTCCATGTTTTCATGTACACATAACCGATTTGTTTATTTAAAGATATTGTGTATGCAAAGCATATTTGGTTTTTAGTCTTAGGTGTGATTGAAACGATGATTAATAATATATTAGAAATGCATTATATATACAAACCTCTTTCTCCATGCTTTCCTTTTAGATAATCTGTAGAAAGATGCGGACAGCTTCTTTTCGCCAAAATATTTCATATTATTAATAATATAAATGTAAACTAAATTCTTACACTGTAACTCACGTTTCTTCTTATCACGACGTTACCGTTACTGCGCTTCGACTAACCTTTAGGCCGGAATCAGACTATGCATTTGAGATTGAGATTATAGATTAAAGATTGAAGATTGTCCAATCACATTAAATGATAGAGATTTGCATTGCGATTGATAATATGGCTTCTACTTAACCTAAATTTCAACGATTCAGTGCAAGTGTATTTACTGTCTTTATACAAACAAGTTGAGACGCAATTAAATTTAAGAAATGCCGCGTATTATAACACGTGCAAATAAACACAAGAGAATTGTTGCTCTTTTACTTTTAATAATCGCTGAAGAGGAAACTCATCGAAACAATCGTCGTATATGGACTAATCCATATCTTTTAAAGAGGAACAGGAGAGGCATGCATCATAATCTTTTTACGGAATTGCTTTTCGAAGATCCAGATAGGTTTAGACGGTACATAACTTAGTTAGAAATTTATTTCTTTAATTTATTTGCGATATACTTGATATGTTAAATACTTGTATTGCAGATGCCTTCGAATGAATACTGCTATATTTGAAGATCTTGTAGAAAAAGTAACTCCCTTTATTAAAAAACAGGATACACATTTGAGACAAAGCATTCCACCTGCTGAGAGGTTGTCACTCACCCTACGACATCTTGCAACAGGTAACTTGAAATTTTTTATACTTGAAATGTACATCAGTAATGAAAATGTAAGTAATGTTTCAAAAAATGTTATTTTATTTTTAGGGGAAAGTCAGGAATCTCTTCGTCTCACATATCGGATTGGTCAGAGTACCATTTCAGGTATCATTAAGGAAGTATGTACTGCGATTATTCATGTACTACGTGAAGACTATCTTAGAATGCCATCATGTGAGGATGAATGGAGAGTCGTGGCTAATGATTTTGGTTATCGTTGGAATTTCTATAATTGTGTTGGAGCCATGGATGGCAAACATTTTAAAATTGATCCACCATTACGATCAGGATCATTATATTATAATTATAAAGACAGTTTTTCTGTTGTATTACTGGCTGTTGTAGATGCACAACTCAGATTCATATATGTAGATGTTGGTACAAATGGCAGAATAAGCGATACAGGCATATGGAACAAATGTAGTTTAAAAGCCCATCTCGATAATAATAGCTTAAATATTCCTGCACCAACACCTTTGCCTAATATAGATAAAGAATTTCCATTTGTATTCGTTGGAGATGAAGGTTTTCCTTTAAGTACAAAGGTTCTGATACCTTATTCACGAGATACATGTGGGAACAAAAATAAAAGGATATTTAACTACAGGTAAATTTTTTAACTACTGGTAAATTTTTATTGTTCGTTTTAAGCATTCATTTTTTGTATATGTATGTATTTTTTTTAAATGTGTTACTTTCAAAAATTATTTTCTGTTATAGATTATCCAGAGCGCGTAATAAGTCTGAAAATGCTTTTGGGGTCATGGGAGCAAGATTTCAAATTTTTAGATCAGCAATGCGTTATGATCCTGATGACGCATCAACAATTATATTAGCTTGCTGCTGTCTACATAATATGTTGAGAACTGAAGTAGTGGGAAGACATATGTATACTCCTCCTGAATTTATTGACGAAGAAGATGAATTCCTACATAGATTTCATCGAGGGGAATGGCGGCAAGAGCCTACTCTTGGAATGATAAATTTGAGAAATCAAGGAGGCAATCGTCATGCTAATGCTGCCTTACAACTCAGAGATGACTGGTGTAATTATTTCAATGGAGAAGGAGCTGTTCCATGGCAAGACTATATGATCAATAAATGAATACTTTCCTTTATTCAATGTTTACAATGTCATGTTTATTTTATTGCTCTTTTAATAAAAAAAATAGATTTACAGATATATAGCAATAAATGATAAATGAATAATAGAATTTTGGTTTCTACGTATTCCATATAACTGTATCTATCCTATTAATTGAAATCAACTCTTTTTATATCACATAATATTCATGTATAAAGTAAAATTTTTCATATCACAACTTGTATTAATATATAATACTTATCTATAAATTAAAACTTATTTGTATCAATATAATGCAATAAAAATTACATTTTATCTTTTAAAAAAACTGAAATTTAATATTTTTATATCAAAATATATTAATATAGATAAAAATATGTATTAAGGATACTTTTCATATTATATATAATATTCATCTATAAACAAAAACTTATTTGTATCACAATGTTTTGTATCATAAAATGGACTATACTTTGGTAATTAAAAATATTTCGTTTTTGATACCTAAATATCAAAATTATTAATATAATTAAAAATATTAATGATTCACAAGGCAGTTCATTATTTCCTGTTCACATTGTTTACGAATTTCAGGATACATTTCTCGTAATCTGGATGCTACAAAGACTCCAAAATGTTCTGCTGAATCATTTTCAGATGTTTGTTCACTTAGCAATTTAATTGCTCCCATTGCCTCTTCTACTATTGATCCCTTTCTTTTTTTAGCGGATCCTCTTTTTATATATATGTTTTCTTTGTTATCTGAAGTTTGTTTCTTGCTAGTAGATAAATGTACAGCCGACTTTGCTGTTGATGAACCAGATGAAATATCTAATTGAGAATCATGATGAGACAAAGACGAAGCTTTTGACAAACTATTTATGCTAGAGCAAGATGTGTTGTCTAAAGGGCAGTACATTTCCCTTTCTGAAGTATTAGCAGTAGAGCTCGTCTGCCATTGCTAAAATCAAATATAATGTACAGTAGTAAGTTATAAATAATTTCAAAAAGTACTTAAATGTAAATAAATTTTATAAATATAAAAAATCATATTTCCTATTAATGATATAATTTATTATCTAAAAAATATGTATATTTTATTATATAAAAAAAGAATTAGCAATCACGAGATGTTTTATTAAATTTCGTCGAGATTTGATAAACCCTCACCTGTGTGTTACGTAAATTAAATTGTGTTATATCAAATTCACTCTCTAGATATTCAATTACATTTTCTGGAGATTTTGTTGCTTCAGTAGTATTATCATTTATTAAAAATTCTGTTTTATCAGAATATATAGTATTTTCTGAAATTTGTAAATTAGACAAACTTTCTGCTTGAGCACATGATTTTATTAAGAACTTTAACCTATCGTATAGAACCCATTTAGGTTTATATATTTCTTCAGGACTTTTTCCACTACATCTATTCTTTGATTCACGTTCTTTCCGAAGATTTGTCATAAAAGTTTGCCTCATACTAATAAAACGGTGTTGTACCATGTCAGCTGAAAAATACAAAAATGTTAATAACCAAACGTAAAATTATATACTTCATTTTATTACAATATTTCATAAATAATTATACAAGCAAACAGTTTCTACTTTGCATACTTTCAATATAATATGTCTCAGACTTATAATGACACCAGTTAGGGTATATCCACACAAACTTGCATAGCTGCATAAACGTATGCATAAAGAAAATTATCGAATCGCACTTCTCTTATAAAAACAAATGTAAAATGTAATTGGATAATTTTCTTTATGCATATGTTTATGCGGTTATGCAAGTTTGTGTGGATATACCCTTAACGGTAGATTCCTGACAGCATTTTCAGACGAAAATCCTAATAATAAATATTGAGGCTACAATAATTTTTAAATGAGAAAAGTTTCATTAAATAGTCCAGAGTTCGCACGCTCAAGTATAGCACATATTACATAAAGCACATCTTCATATTATTGTTTATCGTTTAATGTATAAGGGAGGAATCTAAATTTCTCTAATTATTAATATTAATAAAGATATATGCAAAATTGTAAAAAGATTTACATGTTTCAAAACACCTTCAGTGCTATGCCATGCCTAAACGCACAAATTCAGGACAGTTTTATTAATCAACTTTAAGCTTTTTTTCATTTAAAACTGTTGTAGCTTCGATATTTTAACATTATGATTTTTATAAATCTCAGGAATATACCAACAGGTATCACAGTAAATTTAGACCACTCGATCTAGGTATATAAAAATACATATAAACGGCATTGAATATAACTTTACATATCAATAAATAAAGTAAAATATAAACGTTTAAATTCTCTTACGACTAAAAGAAGGTCCTAATATTTGAGCTATTTCTTGCCAATGATTATATTTTAAATCAGTTCTTTTATACGTTGCACACTGCGCATCCCATAACATGGGCCGTCTTTCAACTTCAAATATTAATATATTTTCTTTTTCACTTGACCAAGTTTCTATTTTTGGAGGCATGGCACTTTGTCACAATGGTTCTTCTTCGTAAATATGCGAATATCTTTACTGATAATTTTATCAGGTCTGAAGCTACAATGTAGAAAAGTAAAGCAAGGTATTGATAAATAAACATAAATATATGAATGTATATATATATATATATATATATATATAATATATGTATGTGTATTAAATATTGAGACATTATAATGTATAATGTATCTTTTGACATGAAAATGTTTTTATAAAATACACTACACATTGCCAGCAATCCTGTTGCTGTGTTCCTACTGCAAAAGCCGTCTTGTTAGAAAAATCAAAACAATACTGCTCATTACCAAAATTATCTTTAAAAATGAGAAATCGAATAATAACATAAAAATATTATCTCGATTTTCTTAAATCATACAACAAAATACTTTTTATTTCATTATTAAAAAAAGAGAGAAAACCACCATATACGAAAAAAAGGAAATTATTGAAACGGAAAAATCTGACACTAAAATATTGTGCTCAGTCCCGCGAAAATATTAATCGTTAAAGTTAATTACTATTAGGTTAGGAAATCTGTCACATTGACGGCATAGAAAATTACACAAATTCTCTACTGTAAAAATAAAAATTATGTAGAAAATAATTTGTGTTTCTAAAGCAGATAATTTATGTTTGCAAAACAGACGATTTGTGTATAACCTCTATGCCATCTTTCATTTCACACAAAAATGCTTCGAATAACCATATTTCATTGAAATTGAAGATGAGGAATGTTTTCTAGATAATTATAATAAGATGTAGACATGTATGCAATATACATAATTTACTAACTTTTATTTATACAAAGCTTACCCCGAAACTTAACCTTCTTCGCAACACGAACTGCCGTCAGCCTTTTGCTTTTACAGAAAAAATATCAAATATCTGTCACATGACCCAAAAGTCGCCAAGCTATTGGCTATTATTAAGATTGAAGTTTGGAAAAATAGACCGAGTTCTAATTTCAATCTGTAATCTCAATCTTTGCTTTCTTCGCTTTGATTGGTCAAAATTCAATCTCCAATATGTAATCTCAATGCAATCTCAATCTCCAGTGCGTAGTCTGATTCCGGCCTTACGAGAGTCGCTGTTGCAATTGGTCACACATGTCACGAGTGTTGTCTTCTCATTCTATCGTCGCGGGTCGCGTCGATTGGAAGGTTTTTAAACAGCTATATGTATAGTAGCTATATATATGTGATTAGCACAATGCGATTACTGACATTACAGCATTCTGTGTATAATACGTATTTAAAAAATTATGTATATAATGTGAATACATATATATACAGTCACGAACAAAAAAGTGGACACATAATGAAAATGGATATCAATGAAATTTGAAATCATAGAATTAATTTTTACATGTCCCCAAACTGTATTTATTAATCATCTCTGTATACAAATTATCCAATTAACAAAATTAATATTTACACTGTGTACAAATCAAAATTAAATTTAAACAAAAAATCGACCAATTATGGAAAGATAAAACACTGCCAACTGATAATTAGTACTTACCGCCTTAGAACTAGATGATATATTAAAAATGTCAATAAGAGGAGAGAGAAGAGAGAGAGTATATAAATATAATGCATGAAAATTTGGAACAGGCAATAGTATAAAAATAAATTAGGAGTAAAAATTTATTTTTCAACAGAACAACGATCCAAATCACGTTGTCAAGAAAAGTATGAAAGAAAAGTAAAAATAAAAAATTAATAAATTAATAATATAATTGAATTAGACTCTTAAATGTTTCAAAAACAATACAAAAAATTTAAGTAAATACAAAAGGCTATTAAGAGTCAACGCTGTTAGCAGTGCGTAAAAATATAATCTTAAAATCTATAACATAGATATTATGTCGAACGTTTCGATCCTTCGTTTCGGATCATCATCAGCGACAATACAATATAAAATTAAAAATTACTCAGAGTTGCAAACAATGATGTTGTCCCGCAGTATGTAATACAATACAACCAATCTGAGGCAAGGCTATCACTTCTTCAGGTGAAAGTATGTACATTAGTTCGAATAATTGAGTATGTCTCAAGTTGGTCGATAAAAGACATAAAATCAATTATATCACAGAAATCGCATTGATCATTGCAACTCTGAGTAATTTTTAATTTTATAATTGAAGAAATAAAGGACTCTTTTTATAAACAATAATTAATACGTTGAGAATGGCGAATAAGAGTCAATCTAAATCTGATAATATATTCTAATATTCTATATTGCGAAGAATATCACGTAATGTTTGGCGTTTCGTCCCGGCTTCCACTACTGGACTCATCAGTAAGGTATTGTAGTGGAAGCCTACCTTAGACGCCGGTGTAAGTTATTAAATCGAGATTCTATATAAAGAGATATACGCGTGTCTCAGCACTTGCGAGAATTTGCGAATATCGATAGACCTCTGATGGCGGGTCGACGTAGTAATATTCTTCGCAATATTTATCCAAAGTGAGAAATAACGTTTTAATTATATATAGTCCCCCCAAATAATCTGATTTTTAAATGTCCCCCCCTTCTTAATTATTGTTTATAAAAAGAGTCCTTTATTTCTTCAATTATTTGTTTTCAAAACCGCAGGTTGTAATAACGCGGATAATACTTTGCAATTCTGTTCATTAAGTAAAAATTTACAGTTTCTAGATTAATTGCGTTTCAAGACCGAAAATCCATCGGCGCGCAAATATTTAGGAGGGGGGATATTTCAGATTATTAGAGTTGCGTTGCAAGACCGAAAAATCTTTCGGC